ATCCTTCCTAAGATTAACTTAAAAATATAATTAAAAAAGAAATGAAAAAAATCTTCCATACTATCTTCTAAGAAAATATTAGCAATTAATTGATAGTGCCATTTTAATGATTATCAAATGTTTCAACTTTATTATCATTTCTTATTACCATCATAAAAGAAATGACTATCATTTCGAATTTACAATACAATCGAACAATTTTAGAAATTATTTCAATCCTTTTTTTTTTGTTTCTTTTCTTTTTTACCTACCAAAAGAACAATAAAAAAAGTAAAAAGTACCAATTATCTTTTCTATCTATAATTGTATAAAAAATGCAAAAGCTAATTATCAATTTCTACAACTTAATGCCATTATCAGTTACTATTATAACCTTCATGATGTTAGTTGTTATCAATTGCTATTATCATTCTTATGATGTTTGTTATCATTTATCACATTCATACAATTATCACTATTTTATAATATTAGTGTTTTTTTCCCTTTTTTTTTGATAACATTTAAGCATAATTTATGATATTAGCAGGCATAGTAACATTTGCTATAGTAAATATATAAACATTCATTTATAATTTTATTGAATAATTGTGCTTATATCTGTTATCATCGTTTTTTCTTATTATTGTTCTATTCTTCACAACAACGAAATCAATTTAGATATTAAGAATAATTCAATAATTTTGGTAAGTATTAATTACTTGTGGTGATAACATGCAACTATTATTATTATTATTATTATTATTATTATTATTATTATTATTATTATTATTATTATTATTATTATTATTATTACAATTATTTAAGTAAGCAGTAATAGATATCAATAAATGTGATTCTTTACCATATCAGTGCGCTACTCCGTAAAATTACTGTTTAAATGCAATAGCATAATTCCTAAAATTCTAAATCTGGCGCAAATGTGCATTTCAGCTGGCGCAAATGTACCGATTGCAATGCACTATTTTCACGTTCAATCATACCTAATCTTTACTATCTTTTTCCGTTTTTTTAAATTTATTCTCTTTTAATTTTTTAGCGAATGTATTCTTTTTTTTTTTTTTTTTTTTTTTTGCGTTCTGTGTAAATATTATTTTCTTACACTCTAACTTTTTCAATTTACATTTTGTTCCTAATATATCACTTTGCACTGTATACCATATCCCAAAAAGAATATTCATTTCACGACATGGTACAATATTTCTTATCTAGGTCACCTGAATTTCCCATACACAAATTTTCATGTCATGATGCATCATCATTTATCCTGTCAACATCATACCTGTTCATCTGAATGATTAACCTAACTTTTCAACGATAATTTTTTCTTCAGTGAATAACCCTTTGTACATCTTTAATGATCTTCAATCTTAAGAAGTGCAAAAATTTAATAAAAAATAAACAGGGGTATCCTGTATTCAATTTTTTGCTTGGTGAAATAACCTACTTTTTATTTATTCACTAATTTTCTATCCTCTTTCTTGTCAGCAAAAAAAAATTCCTCCTACAATATTTGTATCAATAAAATAAATTTATATTATTCATAAATTAAAATTTTCAAAGTTGCAAGTTTAATTCTTAGCAAATTTCAATTTAGTCTTTTGAAATTATTTACTTACAGTCAAAATTTATTGTATCCTTTGATAATCTGCAATCAATTTTGAAAGTATTATATTTTCATTTTGAAGATAGCCTATGAGATATTGTTTTTGAACTTAACAGTTGATCAGAATCCATTTTCATCCCTTACTTTCTTCCTTTCTCTCTCCCTCTCTCTCTCTCTCTCTCTCTCTCTCTCTGTCTTTCTTGCTATGTAATTGCTTATTTTCATTTATTTTCCCAACTGCTTCTTGCCTGAAATCTATTATTGATGTTTATCAATTCATTGGTGCGGAATTATTTTCTTTCCCTCCAAAATTTATAAAAAAATATTTTTCGTCTTTGAAAAATTTGTTATCAAAAGCAATCAATAAATGATATGTTTACATAATTAAAAATTATAGCTAATTTATAACAAATTCACTTGAATATTTTATGTTTTGCTAACACTCGAAAGGCATCAAATTTTTCAATCATTTATTCTCTAATATAATTTATAATAGAATTAATTGCTTCGAAATTTAAAAAAAAAAAAAAAAATGCGTAAAATTGAGAAAAGTAAAAAACAAAATGATTATTAGAGTAAAGTTTGAACGTTGAACTTTTAAAAATTATAAGTTTGATATTTCTAAAACTGTTAAGGAAGCTTTTCATTTCCATTCTTTTTTTTTTTACTGTTTGTTCATTTTTTTAATTTATTATTCAGTGATGAATATAAATTTTATCCTAATTTTACATACTTAATTACAGTACAAATCAAAATGTATAATGTAAATTGTAGATAAAATATTTCAATTTTTTTTTTTTTTTTACTTTTATATTTCAATTTTATATTTTTCTTTAAAATTTTTTTTTCAAAATTTTTAAAAGTAAAAAATAAAAAATGTTCTGTTTTTTTTGATATTGATTTTTATTTTGTTTCATTTTCGACTTTTACTTAGCAACAACAAATAATGATAGCATTTCAGATGCAATGTTTCGATGCTTTACGTTATCGTTGTTACTGCTATCCGTGATAACAAGTGATATGATATGTACCGAAGATGTAAGTGATGCACAATCACTTTGTAGTGATGCAGCTAAATGCGACTATAGCAATTCAATTATATTTTCCTCTCCGGAAGTCAATAATTTAATTGCAAGTCACTCAGTTTCCGGTTATTATTATTTTATTTTATTTATTATTATTATTTTTTTTTTGATTGTTTAGCTTTTAGTTTTCGATGTGCAAATTTATGATTTATTTGAAATATAAATGGAATGAAATGTGCTACTTACAATAATCATATTCATTGGCCTTTATTACAAAAGAAGAAAAAAATTGAAAATCTTAATTAAACATTCAGGATAGATATTTTTGATAAAGAAAAAAGAGAGAGAGAGAGAGAGGGAGAGAGGGAGAAAGTAAATTAAATTAATATAAATGTAGCAAAATTCTGATAATGAATTAAATTGATAAGTTTTTAATAATTTAATTAATTGATAGTATATTTCAGTATTGGAAAGTACTCAACAAATATCATTATATAATTTATGGTCTTATTTGCTCTATCGATGGAGTATTGTGCTATATTTTGTACCATTAATCGTCATAATATTGTGTAAATGTAAAATAATCAATTGTGATGTACGACTTATTTATGGTAATATGCCTGATGATTTTGTATAATTTTGTTTATTCGTTTGTTTGTTTGTTTGTTTGTTTGTTTTCTTTGGTAGCTAATAGCCTTTTTGGTATTTTCGTAATTTGATAACTAATAGAATTGTATAATAAAATGTGTAAACAATAATATATATAGTTATATTTCATCGTTAATTTTTCTTTTTTAAAAATTCATTTTGCATTTCATAATATTTCATAATTTAAAACTAGTATGACCTCAAAGTTTCATTCATCTATTTATTTCTAATTTCTAAAATGTAGGATAAACGAGGAAACATAATGAACGATAAGAAGTTATCCATACCATTTCATATTTATTGCAATTTTAATTGAAAAAAGCCAAAATATATACATATATGTCGTAAATAATAAATTATCTGTTAATTACCTCTGTTAATAAATTACCTATGCGATAATTATTTGTAGAAATTCATCTGAAAGAAAGAAGCGAAATGTACCGTACGAAAAGAGAGAAAGGTCATTTCTGGATAATTATCGAGAAATGTTATTATTTTCCTGTAGGATAATGTATTTTAACATCACTTATTCTGATGCTTTTAACTTAGTACCGATTCGGATTTTTTGTTCTCTTTTTTTTTTTTAAAAAAAAAAAAATAATGGAAAAAGTATGGAGCCATTTTTTACTAAATTTTGAAAGTTTGAAATAATTACACAATTGGATGAATAAAAATTTAAAAATTGAAATAATTACATTTGGGTACACACATTTATAAAATTTTATTTGTGCATTTTTTTTTTTTTTTTTTGTAAATTAATTTTATTTTGTCCTTAAATTTCTTTATAATCATTTACTTCTCTCTGCAATCTTTTTTGTTTGCTGAAAACATTTATTTGATTAAAAAGAGTATATTCCTAAACAAATTACATTTGTCAAGATTAATATCGAGAAAAGTTTGATTGACACATTACAGAATTAAGAAAACTTAGAGGTCAACAGATAGATCTTCATTCAATTTAAACTTGACCAGCAGAGAATTATGACATTTTTTATGCTAATTTTGTTACATTTTCTCTTAATGTATAATTTTTTTCCTTTTTTTTAAATGAAAAATTAAAAGTTATAAGGTTGATTTGAAATTTTTTTTTCTTACTTTTACCTTAAAATGCTAAATTTATTCTTTTCAATTCTACTAATGTCAATGCTAATTTATCATTTCATTTATTCTCAAATTTTCTCAAACATTAATAATATCAAAAGCGGCGAGATCATTTGTAAATATCAATTAATTAAAACATTTTCAAATAAAATAAATTTGTTTGCTTCCATACATAATTTAATGAACATATTAGTTCTAAAAATACAGATAACATTTTAGATTGCCTAGACCCATAGGAACATATTTGATATGTACGTATGTAATTGATTGAATTAATTAAACTTTTTTTTTTTTTTAAACATTTTTTTAATGAAAAAAAAAACTTAGTTTGTCATTGAAATTTACAACTAAATTAAATGTAAACGTTTGACAATTGAGAAATTTGTCAACATTTTCCACTATTTCCCTTTTTCGTTAATAACAATGAAAAAAACACATTAAAACAAAAAAAAAAAAAAAGAAACGAAAACAAAAACAAAAACAAAAAAAGTTACAATGGATATTATTTCATCTCTGATTTTTCTTATTTCAATGTTAAAATACACATTTGCTACCAATAATAATAATAGCACTTTTGAGAGATTACAAAAATTAAATTTGTTTTTTATTTTTATCTTTTCACATTACCGTGTTTTTAAGCGTATAAATGATTTCATGAAAACTGGATCCAAACAACCATTTTGCTGAAAAAAAAAAGAAGAAAGAAAATTGAATTTTATTTTTAATTCAACTTTTTTTTTTTCAAATTATTTTCCTCCTTGTATGTATGAAATTTAAAATTTTTTGTCTCATCATATATTTCAGTAATTTTTTTTTCTCTGTAAAAATTTGAATAATAAATTTAATGAATGAACAAAATTAGCAAACTAATAAAACAGAAGAAAAAAATTGCTACATTTAGCATTTCTCATATAAATTCTCAATTATTTAGTATTAATATGAAAAAGGATAAACCTGAAAAAAGTTGACAAAATCAGATTTGCAAATATAGCCATTGCCATCTTTATCGAGCGCCTGTGATCAATCACAAATCTATCAGATTTATCTCGAGAGTGTTCAAATTATCACAGATATATGATAATTTTAATAGCATTTGAAATTTTACTTTCACTAATTTTTTATTCTACTCCAATTAGTTAATTAATTAATTAATTAATTAGCTGATAATAATTTAATAATACCTTGAATGTACCATGTGAGCGATGGATAGCAATATTTTGCAATGCTGTATCGATCATATGAAAATTGCAATCAGATACTTTGTTTCCATGTTTTGACTTTCCAAGCATTGCTAATCGGAAAACTGATTTCACAAAATCTATCAAATCCTGAATGAATTGAAATTATTTTGGTCAGAATTCTCGTTTCTTTTTTTTTTTTAGATAGATATTATATTTAGACACAATATAATACATTTAATTAAAAAACTGTAAAAAAAAATCTAATAATAGCAAATGAAAGATAAAAAACTTGAACGTATGATTGATAAAAGTTAAATTAAAATTTCAAATTTTAAATCATTAATAAATTGTTAGCTTTGTTAAAAATTTAATTCATAATCAGAAATTCTAAAAGTACTTGAAAAACTGATCATACATCTTCTGTAATTGCTTCAACATCGGAACCTTTAATCATTCGAATTGTCCAAATTGCATTTGCTTCCGGTGTTGGTAAATAAAGCAATGCTAATGATTCCATAAGATCCTAAAACGGTTTTCACTTCAATATTAATAAAATTTCATTCCTTTATTCTTTCCTGATTTCATTGTAAACAATTACCTTTACAAATGCAAAAGTAATTACATTTTGAAAACCTAAATTCTAAAAGTATTATAATTAAACTCAGACATACCTGTAATAATCAAAAGAAGAAACAAAATAAAAAAAAGTTTATTCATAATTGTAACAAAAAAATCGAAGCACTCTTTGCTACAGTTAACTAATTATATAAGCATTTTCCTTGCAACAATTTGTCCAATTAATTAAGAATAGGACAGATGGATATGGTGGATGAGGCCAAAACTCTACTAGGCCAAGTGACTCAGCTTTCAAAGTATTTATTGACTAGGACATTTGGCCAGATGATCATTAGGAGCTAATTTTTTGCAATGTTTCTGATCACCAATGTAGCCTGAAGACTTTCATTTGATTTCTTCTACTATCACTTACTTAACATTCTTACTCAAATATGTTTCATCTATAATCGCAGTAACATCAAATTATCAAATAATGGCGACAACAGTTAAGTAACTTTGACAATATTCGAATGCTTTTTTCGTTCAATTAAAAATTTGATCAAAGGTTAAATTATTTGTTACTTTCTTATTAAAGAAAATAACAGTTGTAAACTATGATTTTTACAATCTTTTAGTAACTGTTAAATCAAATACTTCATTAGCATTATTAATAGTATGTGCTACTTTACATTTTGAATTAAAAAAAATTTTTTTTCTTTTAGGTAAACATTACTTATTTATCAGAAATATGAACTAAGTATTAGTGAATTAACAATAAAGTAAAAAAATATGATTAAAGATTAAAAAATATTTGTTTCGCATAACTAATATAAATGGCGCAAAAAGTACAATTGCTTTTGCATCAACGAATTTAATAGATTACTAATTCCATTGTTACTTACTTTGATTTTTACTTTGATTTTCAACAAACAATAAATCAGTATCCAAATAATTAATTTAAAATCAATCATTCCATTTTGTTTTATTTATTTTTTCCTTTCACATTATTGTAAAGATTGATGATATTTTTGTTTATGCTAAATTCTTTAGCCTATTGAAATGCTAATTTAAATAAATTATCTTCGTTGATTTTTTAAAATTTCTGTTAAATTTAAAATTTAAAACAAAAATAAATTTTAAGCACCTTAAAAGTCATTTCTTCTTTACCATTAGCAAATGCTGTGAAAAGCCTCAAAATGTATTCTTCATCGAGATGCAATGGAAAATAGGAACCAAACATTTTTTTAAATTTAGCTACACGCATTCTGCCTGTTGGACATTCCTGCAATTTACTTTAATGATTATTAGTTAGTTAAAAAAAATTAAGCAATAAAATTTGTTTAATTAAAATATATTAAAATTTTATTCTCCAATATTAATTATATTTCAAATATTCTATCACACTACTTGCTACTCTTAATTATCTCTTAAAATTCGATTAAAATTTTTAGAATTATTTAATAAAATAAATGGAAAACGTTCCTAAATTTAGATTTTATAAAAAGAAAAAAAAATTTATCAAAATTTAATGAAAGTAAAAAAAAAAAAAAAAACGAACATTCTTAAATTTAGAATACATATATTTGATATATTTGCAACTAAATGCATTTTTCGTATATGTGCGTAATTCGTCAATTGTTGGTGGTTGAATGTTTGTCTCCCATTTTACTATTTCAGTTGATTCATCAGATTCCATTGCTGTAAGTAAGTAAGTAAGTAAATGAGTAAGTAAGTAAGTAATAAAGTAAAATTTTTTTTTGTTTGACAAATAAACAAATAAAATAAAATAAGTAATCCATTTCTGATTATGTATCTCAATCTTACATTAATTTACTAATTTAAGAAATATATGCAAAATATTTCTTTTCATTTACTATAAAAATTTTTTTTTCCTTTTTCATAACAAAATAGTAAATTAATGATAAATCAATGAAAAACATTTTTTTTTTTTTTTTTTAAGCGAATTATTTCTAACTAAATTTGAAGTAAAATAAAAACAAACAATTGTTAAAGTTTGCTAAAATTTTGACTTACAAATTTCAAATTTGAAATAAAATTTAATTTCATTTTAACATATATCATACTGGTCTTTCTTAATTTATACTTTATTTAATTTAAATAAAAAATAAATTATCAAATATTATAAAATTATAAATTCTAATGGCTTTTAAGCTTATGTTAAGTTTAACTTGAAAAAAAAATACAAACATTTCTATTTAGTTTTATTATTATAGAAAATTCTACTAATTAATAAACAAATATGAAATATTTATTATTTGTATACCAACTAAATATATTGAGTAATTTAGAAATGATAAATTTCAATTTTTTAATTTTGCATTCAAAAAAAAATTGATAGTTTCCTAAGTAATATTAAAATTTTTTTTTTAAATAATATAATAATTAAAATGAAACATTTCATATCGTTCATATTGAATGATACTTGTTACTCTTATAATTTTATATGAGATTTAAATTAATTAATTTTTTAATTTTAATTTCATTTATAAATGAAAACATTTCATGCAAAATAGCCGTAGAAATAGGGGAAAGTAAGAAAAACTGATGGAAAGGAAAAGTATAAGCTAAAAGTCAGGTAATTATAGTGATATTTACCTTGTTTCAAAAAGAAAATAAACTTTGTGAAAGGATTTTTCAAAATATGTAAGCAACAATTTTTAGAAGGGTAAATTTAAAATTTTAAAATGAAAATAGTTCTATGATATGTTATTAGACTGATGTAAAATTATTAAACATTGAGTTGTTCTAACTAAAATCTTTACTAATCACTTTCACTTAACTTAATGAGTGATAAGATTGTCAGATAATGTTAAGGTAAATAAATGTTTTTAGTATGCAATGGTTTTCATCAACATTTTAATCGAATTAAAATTCATTCAAAACATTTTTTAAAATTTTTTCATCTGCAATTTTGTTCAATTTCATTCATTTGCTTAGCAAATTGTCAAATAATTTAATCTGTTTTGAGCTTTTTTTTTTTTTTTTTTATTTAAACACATGTAAATAACATTTAATTTTTTCACAAAATAAATGGAAAAAAATAAAAAGTAATTGTTCAAATAAGAATTGAAAATTGGAAAATTGAAATTGAGATTTAATAAAAAAAAAAAAGAATAAATTGATGAAACTGTCATCAAAAACTGAGTATGAAAATGAAAGAATTTCATTTTATTTCACAAATAAATATTAGCAAAAGAGAATATTCAAAGAGTTGCAATGATAAATAAGTAAGTAATAACTGCTATAAATGAATTCAGAAGATGACAAAAGCTCAAAAAGGAGAATTCTTAAGTATTATCTAACGGAAACAATGTGTGACACATAAATGAATAAAATAAAGGAAAGAAAAAAAAAAAGTAGAAATGAGAATTGTAGCATTATTATTTAAATATTCACTTTCTGAAATTTCAAGAAAGATAGAAAATTAAAAAGTAAAACGAAGAAATGAAAGAGATAAATGTGATTATAAAATGATAAAAGTAATTTATATAAAATGAATATGAAATATAAAGAATTTGTGAGGAAAATAAAGTCTAATAAATTTTAAAATGCTAAGAGAGTTTAAATATTCAAATATAATTAGATGGTTTAATATAGGTGCAATTTTATATCAGTTATTCTTCTAATTTAACATCTTTGTTTGAATAATTTATCTTATCAAAAATATTATAATTATTCATTTTAAATGTAATTTTATTAGAGTAAAAAAAAAAAAAAAAATGAAAATTTGATTTTAAGCAATGTTATTCAAAAAAAAGAAAAAAAAATAAAAATGAAGAAAAAAAAAAGAGGAAAAATGTCATTCAGTTGATGACATTTTTGCTTATTGTTTGGCTTTTTATATAATTCTTATCATTTCTTTGAATCTTAAAAGCACATTAGGTTAAATGTGAATGATTTATTTATTTATTCTTTGATTGTTTTTCAAAAACAAAAATGCTTATTTGTGTAGTTTTATTGAGCACAAAATTTTCCACTTCAGTGAATTTTTACGACAAATTTTCTACTTTATATCCTACATTTGCTTTTATATTAAAAAAAAAAAAAAAAAAAAGATTTTACAATTTAGATTAAATTACTTGTGAATGGTTAAGAAATAGAAAATTGTAATGCAAAGAATGTTGTCATAAAAATAAATTTATATCAAATTCAAAAGCAAACATTTTTTTGATTCAATTATTACAATCATTGTGTGTGATTAGAGTATAGATAGAAATTTTTAAATTAAAAATTCGATTAGCTAAAATTAATAAATTAAAATATTAAAATATAATGCTTTTGAAGATGTTTCATCTTTACTTATTCATTTTACTCTTAAAAATCAGTGAAGAAATGCATCGCTTTACATAGCAATGCTGAATTTCCAGTTATTCTAATTATTCTAACTTTTAAATGAAAAGTTCTAACAGCTTGTTCAAATAATTTAGTTATATTTAAATCAATGTATAAATTTTAGAATTGCTTTTAGGTAACTTTAAATGAATGTTTTCAATTATGATTACAGATAATATATATGATTGTGTAACCGGATCCTGAAAAAAAATGCAAAATTAAATTCCTGTTAAAACATTGACGAATATTTTATTATATGTAACAGATGAATGATTTTATGAAGTGAAAGAAAGAAAGTAATACAGGTAAAATCAGGTAGGATTGATTAAGGAAATGCCGAATTATTGCACTAGATTTTTATGTGAATTCAAATAAATAATAATAATTATGAACAATGGTAATAATAATAATATAAATAATGATACTAATAATAGCAATAATAATAAATAATAATAACAATAAACAAATAAACAATAATAACAATAAATAATGATAATAAACTTAGAATATAATCGATATCAGTTTGAAAAAATAATGAAACAACGTTGATTGATTAAATTTCACTAATGAAAATGAAAAAAGTTATAATTATTCGTAATCTGAGATTTT